TATTTATTTCAGAACCCCTTTCCCCTCCCCCATTTCTGAAGAAGGGTCTAGGCCCGAAACGTCAGCCTTCCTGCTCCTCTGATGCTGCTTGGCCTGCTGTGTTCATCCAGCTCTACACCTTGTTATCTCAGATTCTCTAGCATCTGCAGTTCCTACTATCTCTGAAACAATCTAAGTTGTTTGTATAGTTTGTAATTGTTTGACTTCTACTTGGATGTTCAGAGTAATTAGTTAATAGGTATTGTGATTGAGATGTTAGTTCTTGGAAAAGCTGAAGTTTTACAAAAACATTAAAGTGAATAGTTTTTGTCCTAATGTACCATGCAATTCTTCTTAGTTTCAGAAATAAAAATGATTCAAACTTACGTTTATCAAAACACTGGATTGATTTTTAAACAACTTTCTTAGAATTCTGATACAATTTCAAATATATAGCAAATGACCCAATTTCTGCCAACCCTCCCAGTCGTTTCATCAGAGAAAAAAAGAACTTGCATCTTTGCAGCTCCCTTCACATCTCCAGGATCTCCCAAAGCACTTTGTTACGAATGAATTGTAGCAACTAACGTAATGTTAGAAATTGGCCATGTAAGTTACAAACAGCAATTGATGAGCTATTTTAGGTGTTGATTCATAGATATGTTAACCACGAGTAATCTCATGCTTCTCTTTAGGCTGTATTGGATTTTTATATCCACAAGAGGACAGACAGAGCCTCATTTTAACATCTCATCTAGAAGATATACTCCTTCATTATGAACCAGAGTTCCAAGCTAGACTGTGTACTCAACTCTTATTTGGGGCTTGAACCCAAGACCTTCTATATTAAAGAGGCAGGACTGCTGCAAGCTGAGTTAAAACTGACTATTAATCCTGATAAGTTATTTGATGACTGTACAGCAGTGAGGTTTTTTTTAAGAAACGTATGTTACTTTTCCACACTATTAACACAGTTTCATTTTTTTTTTTTGCTTTTAGGAAGCTGAACGAGCCATTCAGTGTTTAAATGGCAAGCTTGCTCTCTCTAAGAAACTGGTAGTGCGTTGGGCTCATGCACAAGTGAAGGTGAATATTGTTTCTGAATTTCTCGATTTGTCCTAAATATAAAATTCTCAACGTGTTAATTTTTTTAACAAGGTTTCAGATTTAAAAGAGCATGCTTTTGAGTTTGTTCTTCAGGATTATATTTTGTATTCTAGACACTGTTTTAGAACCTAGCTGAATGAACTAAAGCTGTATAAAATTAGCACAACAAATGCTGTAACTCATGCCTTTACATAATCCAGATCTTGCCTTCAACCCTAGTGTAAGTACACAGTATATTTCTGGTTTTAATTTTGTAATCCTTTCTAACGTCCTAACGAAAATTCATACCTAAAGATCAGTTTGACATTCTAGCGGCAGTGTTTTACTTTCCCAACGTTTAGTTTAAATATATTAGGGCCTTTTATCAACTAAATTTCAATTTTTGATCTTGGAAGACTTTGGTTCTTGAACATTTCTGAATCTCAAGCAGTTTGTGCAGGCAAACACTTTAGGGTCTCACGGATACAGCATAAGTATTTCAGTCACTGAAAAATTGTCCAAGACTTCCAAGACTTTTGGCACTTGTCGTTTATCCAATAGCTATGACTAATGAACTGCATATGGCAGTAGTGCTCTATTACTGATTCCAACATGTTTGTATCATATGTGCCAAAGTGCATAGGTTGAGACCGAGCTCTTATTGCAGTGTGTTTTTAGATTAAAATTGTTCGAATAAGTTTGAAAAAATGAGCTCTGATGGTCAGTGGTCTTAGTCTGCATTATTGGTGGAGCGGAAGAAAGCAGGCAAGCTGTTCTTTTACCTAAAATCAATTACACTTTCAAATTGACGAGTTCTGACTCTTAACTTGGGTCTGAAATAGTGAAAGTTGGAGCAGATCTAGTTCCTTTCGTGTGATTCCTAACAAAGATTGTTTTTGTTTTTGTCAAGTTCAGTATTTTTGATTACAGCAGTCATCAGACTGATTGATTGATTATTTTATTGAACTATGCTAATTTATGTATTGAGCGCTGTTGTGAATAATAGGAACATTCTATAGCATTCTAATTGTGACCTGTAACTTGGATAAGTTGAGGATCCTGGCTATTTTCATGAAAATTACATGACTAAGGAGCAGTTACCTGCTGCAGGACATTTCAAAAGTTCCGCCTAGAAAGCAAGTTTGAACAAGTGCCAAATAAAACATTTGAGGAAGCACTAACCATGCTGGTGCTGTTTCAGGGGCCTTGAAACTGAGGACTCTAAAACATTTACGGTAACTTTTCTGTTCAAGGGAACCCTACAGCTGAATTGAAAATTGCAGCTTCTAGTTTGATAAATACAGTCACCAGCATTTTAATGTTTTTGCTTCAGTGCCTTAGCAGGTACATTTCAGTTGGACACATTGAATCGTCTTTTCTCATTCGTTAACTGCATTCTTTGTATTTTTACTTGTAAATATTCTGAAATAACTATATTCTAAAGTAAGACTAGAGATACACTTTATCACTGCAACTTGTACTGCATTTGTCTACCCAACTAATACCCAATGTATAGTGGAAACCTATTACTTGAAGAACTAGTGGTAAATGACTAGGTCTAGTGTACACAATTAAAAAATCTTTTCTTAATACCTTGGTATCTTTCAAAATCAGTAAAGGAACAGGTGGAAGAAGTATAAATGATTTAGCAATACAATCTCCAGTGGATTACATGTAATAATTCCAGATAAATACATCTAACTCTATTTAGAATGCACCTCTCGTAACAATTGAAAGTGAGAGCTCAGTACAGATCAGTTGTTTTTCTAGCAGGGGCAATGCATTGCTTTCAGAATTCTGGAGATCCAGTGTTGTATCCCTACTGCTCATCAGAATTTTCTTCAGTCTTTTTAGCTGGAAGTGCAGGATAATTTTGGTACTTTGATATCACACATTTGCAGATCTACTTGCTGCTGTGGGCAGTTCATTGTATCACCCATATGTAGGTTGGTTAATGTTTCACCATTTTGAGAATTGTGGTACCATTTCTGGATCAAAATAAATGCAACATGCTGTTTACATTTAGAGGAATTTATTTAATTGTAATTGGTGTTTGTACTAGCAGCTTCGGTAACGACTTGACAGAAAGTGATTTTTCGTGTCAATATCATGCATTTTCTTACCGTTTAAGAAGGCCTTGTTTCTTACTGCTGCAAATTTGAGTTGATTTCAGATAAAGTTCTGATCTGATCTGGTCTGATCTAGTGAAAATTTATCTGCATTTTCCCTTTTTTATGCAGAGATATGATCAATATAAAAATGACAAGATTCTGCCAATAAGTCTAGAGCCTTCTTCAAGCACTGAGCCAGTGCAGTCCAATCTGAGGTAATGTAGAGAATGTGTTATTTTAGCTGGTTAGTCACAAGCATATTAAAGTCTACAGAATTGAAAAAAGCTAAGGTATGTTTACTTAAAATGGAACCTGAAAGTTTCCTGTGCCACACATTCTGTTCTGTGGAAACTCCATTGCAGAGACTTGAACATGTAACTTAAGGTGACATTTCCAGTGGCCGTTCAGGGAGTGTTGCACAGCTGGAGTTGCTGTCTGTCAGCTGACACACTAAATTGAGGCTCTGTTGAGGCTCTGTTTTCCCTTTTTAGATTAACTTAAATGATGCATGACACTATTCAAAGAAGGGGAGGAAAGTTCTATCCTTCCTGATTATTATTTATCATTCAACCAAGCACTAAACCAGATTATCTGATCATTTGCCCCATTGCTGTTGAGACCTTGCTTTGCTCGTTTTGGTTGCTGCATTTACCTATTACAAATGACGGCATTTCAAAAGTACTTGGTGAGGAAGTGGTTTGAAATCCTAAGAACATGAAAATTTCCATAGAAATACATATTTTCTTTTTACTTTGATTTCTTTTTCTCTTAATTTTTCTCTTTTAAATGTGGGTTTAAGCCTTAAAGCAGTTTAAGCAGTAACTGTGCCACATCTTTCACTGTGCTTCATTGTTGTTTCTCATGCGTACGCATTGTGCTTTAAAACATTAACAGAAGCTACTCAGCAGGTCAGGTAGTCTCTCTCTCTAGTGGGGGAGAAATACGCTTAACGTCAATGACCTTTTTCATTTAACAAAGGGTTATCAACATGAAATAATTTTGTTGCAGTCTTCATAGAAGCTGCCTGGCATGCTAAACGTTTCCAGCCTTTGTTTTTATTTCAGATTTCCAGCATCTGTAGCATTTTGGTTTTGATTCAGTTTAGCTTCTGTCATTCAACACAAACTACAATGAATGCCCTTTCTAATTGCATTTTTCTGTTCCTCACTTGTCATCTAATGAACTAATGAGATGAGACTCTAGGAAAAGAAATGTTATACTTTAATTGTATAGGCTTTTAAATAGCTGGCACAGTGGTTACAATTGCATTAAAACAGTACTTCTCATGACCTCCAGATATCGCAAAGCATGTAAAGCAGTACTTTTGAAATGTAATCGTTAAGTAGGAAAGACTGTAGTTAATTTACATCCAGTAAGGGTCCACAAACACAAATGTGGTAACAAACAAATAATCTGGCTTAATGACACGGGTATGGGGATAATTATTGTCAAGAAAAATGGCAGATGGAGTTCAATGTGGATAAATGCGAGATATTGCATTTTGGCACAACAGACAATTTATACAATTAATGGTAGGGCCTTGGGTAGTGTTGTTGAACAGAGGGACCTAGGGGTGCAGTTATATAATTCTTTTGAAGTTGATGGCACATTGACAGGGTGGTTATAAAGGCATTTGGCATGCTTGCCTTCATTGCTCAGTTGTTTGAGTATAGGAGGTTGAAAGTCATACTGAGGTTGTACAGGACATTGGTGAGGCTTCTTCTGGAATACTTGTCTAGTTCTGGTGGCCCAATTATAGGAAGGATATTATTAAGCTGGAGAGGTTCAGAAGAGATTTACCAGGATGTTGCCGGGTATGGGACGTTTGAGTTACAAAGAAAGGCTGGATAGGCTGGGACTTTTTTTGCTGGAGCATAAGAGGTTGAGAGGTGTTCTGATCAAGTTTATAAAATGAGATGTATAGATAGAGTTAATGGTAGTTGTCTTTTCCCTAAGGTGGGGGATTTTAAGACTGGGGTGCACATTTTTAAGCTGAGAGGAGAGAGATTGAAGAGCCATGAGGCAATTTTTTTTTTTTTTTATACACAGGGTGGTTCCCGTGTGGAATGAACTTCCTGAGGAAGTGGTGGGTGTGGATACAATTACAACTTTTAAAATTCATTTGGATAGATACATGAATGGGAAATGTTTGGATGGATACGGGCCAGGAGCAGGCAGTTGGGATTAGTTTAGTTTGGAATTATGTTCGGCATGGACTGGTTGGACCGAAGGGTCTGTTTCCGTGCTGTACGACTCTTGACTCTGGGGAGATGGCCCCTGCTTTTATCAAAATTAAGCCATCAGATCTTTTCTAAATATCTCTGAGGCTTCAGAACACAGGTTAATGTTTCATCCAAATGGTGTCACCTCCAAAGCATAGCATTGACTCAATTTAGTACTGAGTTCTGGAGTGGGGTTTGAATCCAAAAACTTCTCACTCTGAGGTGAGCTTGCTAACCACCGACATTTAGGTAAAAACCAAAAGAACTGCAGATGCTGTAAATCAAGAATGAAAATAAAGTTGCTGGAAAGGCTCAGCAGGTCTGGCAGCATCTGTGAAGGAGAAAACAGAGGTAACGTTTCAGGTCCGGTGACCCTTCCTCAGAACATTTAGACATTTAGGTAATGCTTAATTCGCATGCATACTTTGAATAGCATACTTTTAACCTTCTCCAGTCAATGTCTTTGAGTAGTTAAGATCCAAGTCCTACATAGTTCAATTCATATTTGTTGGAGAGGCTGTAATAGGCTAAAATTAGCCTGAAGGCATTGGGTTAGGTCAGAAGATGTAATCAGCCAGATTTTATGCTTCTACTCAAGCTTCACATGTTGTTATAAATGTCCATGTGTAGATGCAGGATTCGTCTCCGTTAGGAAGTACACACAGTTAAATGACCAACTGACATTAACAAAGCTCCAAAATGAATAATAGCAGCTTAGATTGTCAGCACCTGTGGACCTGTACCCTGGTATTTCCAAGAATTTTATTAAATTACATAGGGTGGAGAGGTTTTAACTGCATGTTTCAGAGGTTTTCTGCTGCACACTCCAGAACTGAGCAAGATCCAAACTAACAAAAAAACAAAGTGAGAAGAAAAGAAGTTGTCCATAAGTTTTACGGATGTGCTTAAATAGCTGCTTTGGCCAGCTGATTTGTTTTCTTTGCTCATTTCTATGCACAAGTAAAACATCAAAGGGTTAAAATAACCAATTGTAAAGTGCCACATGTACTCCATATTGCCCAACTTTATTATTTAATCTATTTATTCAGTGCATTTTTAAAATGTAGTTTGAGAATAACTTTACTGTTGTCACCACCACGCAGAGGGCACAACCTATTCACGAACAACCAGTGCTATTGATAGTCTAGTTAGAAGATAATGAGCAAGGTATTCGTTACCCTAAATATCTAGCATAAGATTGTGCCGTCAGTACTTTCGAATTTTAACAGTAAAAGAGGTGTTAAGATTCGTGGGAGACTGATACCCTGTAGCCTGTGCTTTGAGATTTTGGTGGCTAGTCAGCAGCACCAGTCAACACCTAAGAGCGCAATAAAGATCATTGTCTCGTGCCATTCGACAGCTTACATAAAAAATTCAGCAACATAGTGAAACTAATTTTGAAATTATCTAATATATTTGTAAATCCCATATAAACATTTGTTGTTTAATATTAATATAAAATCAGACCTACAACTAGAGTTCCTGTTTAGCAAAAAAGATGGGAAATGGTGTTTTCTTGTTTTGACCCGATGCTGAAAGTGTCCCAGTAGAATTTCTCCAGCTTCATTGGATCCAAAGTAAAAATTGTAAGCCTTTTTAAAGAAACAAGGAAATTGTCTTCAAAGCACATGTAAATTTGGAATTCAAATTTTATACTGCGTTTGATTGCAGCAGGCGTATTTTCATGAAATAATTAGTTCTACAGTAGATAACATTTGAAGTGTACTGTGCAGAAAAGGAATAAAACAGAATGGGTGCCATTTACTTTATGCAGTTGGGTCATTAGTGCAGTTCATTTTCCATGCATGTTACTTAAAGATCCAAAAAAAAGTTACCGGATCTTGTATAGATGTTTATATCGAATTCTAGGCACTGCTGTTCAATAAATTTAACTCTTTCTGCCATGAAGGATATTCCATTGTTAATTTTTTTTGTATTCAAATGAAAACTTCAAACGTTTTAGGACAGCTTTCATTTTGGTGCTTGACATTTAGATATCTGCATTTTCTGAAGTCCAGCAAACAATATCTTAAGGTATTATGTTAATAGCAAGCTACTTGATTTCAAAAGTCACTTTGCCATTGACTTTTCAAAGCTACAGGATATAATGCAGATTAAAGGGCTTTAATCTTGTTCTAATGGTCGTCTCTTTTTATTTGCAGCATTAGTGCAAAAATAAAAGCAATTGAAACCAAGCTTAAAATGATGGCTGAAAACCCAGATGCTGAATATACAGGGCCCCCAGCTTACTCGTACAATAAGCCCACAGACAAAGCACCAGGCAACAAATCACGAACTGCTCCCTATTCTAGAGTTGTTCGGAAATCCAAGCAATGACTGATACCATGAGTACTTCAGATTCTTTATCAGATTTCTTTGATATTCAGTGGAACTGTAAAATCTAATGATTACTGCGCAGTGACTTGATATGATATATTTTATTTTTCTAAGAAAACATTTAAAATTTAAGCTGTTAGTCTTTAAAGCATATCGTTCAAATGTATGCTAGCAGGGTAATTAGCAGTGTCGAGCTCTTCAACTTTTCATCATAGAAAGCTGATTTCTAATCTGGGTGTCAATTTTGGCCACACTAATTAAAACTGTGACCATAACTTTGAGTGTGACTGCAATAAGGCTGTTACTTGAGTAATGTCTCTCAACAATTTCTTGAAATTTTGTGGAGCAAGGATGTTTTGCTGTGGTTTATCATGTAAATTGCATCCATAATCTTGCAGTTCTTTTTTGAACTAAGGTTTGCTGGCAAAATCCCTAGATCATTTGGTGACATTTCACTTTCTGTTTCTTTGCAAATTTAGAATCCGAATGCAAATGTAGTTGCAGATTTGATGGCAATATACATCATGGAAAGTCTGATAATGATATAAAAGTTTTTATACTGAATGTGTATTTTCATTGAATTGAGTGTTCGATCATAAGTAAATAGTTGTAAAATAAAATGTTCTGGTTATTCTTCCAACGATAGAACAAAATTGACTTATGTAGCAATGCTAAACATTTGAGTGCCAGGTCAAGTTTGCCACCTTGAAGTGGCCATATTGAGCTTTCTTTTAAGTGCAAATGGGTAATGATCCAGTTTACAGAAATGGTAAAATATCATGAAACTAAATGTCACTAAATAAAATTTCTCATGATACTTAGCTAAGATAAGCTTCAAGTAAGTCAGGATTTGTGATATTGTGCAACTGATCTTTTTAATTATTTGTGAATGGGACATGGGTGTCACTGGCTTGGTGAGCATTTATAGCACATCATATTTATTGTCAATAGCAGTGCTGTGGGTCTGGAGTCATATATAGGCCACAGTAAAGGGCATTGAACCAGGTGGGTTTTTAAGACAATTGACAGTTATATTGTCACTATTTGGCTAGCTTTTCATTCCATACTTTATTGAATTCAACTTCTGCCATGTGTCATGATGGGATTTCATTGCATGACATTAGACTGGATTGCCAGTCTAGTGACATTTACCACTACACTGCCTGCCCTGAATCATGATAGATCAAACATAGTCTTTACAACTAAAGCAACTCTATTTTCTCTGACCCTGTAGACCATCGCACTTTTTGATTCATAATTCACAATCTCACGTACTGGGATTGGCAGGTATAGCATGTGTAAGACATCACTGAAAAATAACTGAAAAATACTTTGCAGTCATTTTTTAATAAGACAAGACTTATTTGTATTTTTAAAGGCGTCCATAACTTTCTAGTGAAGACGTTGATTTGGCATATGCTTGCTGAGGACAAATTGTAACTGAGTGTGGGTTTTGGGGATTGTGACATGCATTGCTTGCTGCATGTAACAAGAGGTTTACCATTCTCTGGACTCATCATTCCCATGACTGGGAGACAGTAAAACAATTTTGATCATTTATAACAAAATATTTGCCACGCAGTAACCTGCACATGTCACAGTCATGTATTGTAATGTGTGAATGTGGATTTGTAAATATTTACAGAAATTGATATGATTACTCCAAGCAGCCTTGGAGTTAAATTAGTTAATATTATGGGGTTGAAGTGCAGATTTTGTTTTAATTAGCCAGATGACTTGAGCACTATGACCCAGCTTTTTGAAGAGTGACTCTTATTTTTAGCCACTAACTCGATCTCAGGAACTGACTGGCTTTTTGTCATGTAAACTACCCAAAGTGGTGAGAGTGCTTCCTTTTTTTGTTTGCGCAATACTTAGTATACAATCCAGGCCCAAAGTGACTGGATATTCCTAATCACAATGGGTTGAGTCCTATAACTTGGAGAAGGGGCCAATTCTTAACCCTGGTTTTTACTTGTACGTTGAAGAGTCATCCTGGAACAAATCATGATTTGAATTAGAAATTGTATATATTTTATGACTGAATCCCTTTTAAAAGACATTGTCTGTGTGTAAAATGGAAAAATGTTAATGTCACTCCTTGTGTAAAATTTATTATTTATGACTTGTAATGAAACTTTTTTGCTAAACATATTAAACTTTCAGTTTCTCAACATTGAAGAATGGATGAAATGTATTGGTTGTTTTACTTTTCTAGATTGTCTGGTATAGCCAGTTTCCATAATTGTAAAGCCTGTTATAGCTTTTGGAAACTATTAAAAATGAATATTTAAAACTGGTTGGTTTAATTATATTTGCCTGTGAATCTGATCAGCATTGATTACAACAACATCACTTTCCAATAAACAAAGTATGGTATGTGGAAAATGGCATTAAATCATTGCAGCTCTCCTACTGTGATATTGTTGCTGTATTAGTGATTCAGGCTTACATTTCTGTTGAAAATGTTAAATTGTATGTACACTTTAAGAGAAATGATGTACTTAACTTGTGTGACAAAGTTGTTTACTGTTGTATTTATCTGCTGCTACCCTTATGGTTTACATTACCAACAGTCCATTAAATTCAGTCCATTCAGGAAAATAATTTGCTTTAATTTTCAAAGTACATTATTTTTGCAAAGAGTAGTGCTGTCAGAGCACATTAGACAGGTGCTCCTGCAATTTGACCATGCTACAAAAGATGCCTCTTTACCCCCACTAAAATCAGTGGTAATTGTAATTTTCCTACATTCAAGTTGTCACCGTGTTGTGTCTTAGACTTTAAAATAATGTTTGCGACCTGACAGTGGTTTGACCTGTTTCTCCAAGTTTGGTCTTGAACCTTGAAATGTGCATTCCAGTTGGCCTGGGCTCATTTGCTTAGCAGTGGTAACTGACAGATGGATGAATTGAATCTTGAGTTTACCCTTCCAGTAGAGGTTTCACCACTCGTAAATTACCTGTATTATCTTGCATTTCTAGTTAGAACAGTTCAGGGCGCTGCATGTTCTAATGATTTACCTCACAGCATCCATTCAACACAAGTTATCATTCTATAGTACTATAATAAAAACTACACAACAAAACAATCAGTTAAAGTTTATCGTGCTTTTGAATGTTTTGGTGCAATCATCCTCATACCATGATCCTCATTGAATACTACTCATGGTCTTCCAGGACCTGTCAGTTTTGTTGCCCTGTGGTAACTCTTCAGATTTCTGAAGAAGGGTCTAGGCCCGAAACGTCCGCTTTCCTGCTCCTCTGATGCTGCTTGGCCTGCTGTGTTCATCCAGCTCTATACCTTGTTATCTCAGATTCTCCAGCATCTGCAGTTCCTACTATCTCTGAAACAGTTTGCAATCATAGTCATGCTGATTTAGCCAAAAAAGCTTAATTTCCTAAGTTTTTTTTTTTGTAATTCATGTTTTAATAAGTTTGAATAATATAATTAAACTTGCAAAATAAAATTCTAGCTATGCTAATAATGATTCAAAATACATGGCTTAAAATAAAATATCTACCAACACTAATGTTTTTCATTTAAAAACCATAGTTTACTGGCAGCATTGATTGAGTTGTGTTTTTAAATTTTTTGAGTGGTAATTGAGTTTGAGGCTACAATTGTAAAATTTGCTTACTTTTATTGATCATTTAATTTAATGCATGAGAAATATGTAGGGAAACAAGTTCTGACACTACCAGATTTGGTGCACCCACACTTTCAAAAAAAGGCCTTTATGGAGTATAATACAAAAACCTTAGGAGGTCCCAAAGTGAGTCAATGAAATACTTCTGGTGTATAGTCGCTAGAGTAATACAAGGAAACTTAGTGTAATGCTATCAGGTTAACTTGCCTCAAGCTTTGACCTGCCTGAAGGGCACAATAAAATTGCAGGAATTTTTTTAAAGCTATGCAGTAGGTTTTCTTTCAACCAACTCTGTAGTTTGGGCACCACTACAAGCAATTTGAAAAACTACACACTCATTCTGTCCCTGAAATTGATTTTATTTGATGTTTAGTGCATGTGAAAAGTTGTACGATTAAGCTCAAAAGTACTGTAAAATTTGGCAACCAGAACTAGATGTGGCTAACCAGAGTTTTATAAAAGTTCAACATAACTTGCCTATTTTTATACTCTGTATATCTATTTAGAAATGCCAAGATCTTATGGTTTATAATCACTCTTTAGTGTGGATTCTGGAAGTTTGAAATGTTAGAATTATTTCAAATCTCTCCCAAGTTTGATTGAAAGTTTTGAGTTGTAAAATATAAATTACAAAGAACATGGAGGCCCTGAATATATAATTGTCTTTGGGGCTCATTTCACTAATTGTTCACAGTTAGAGGTTTTACATTGTGAAATGTAATTTTATAAAACCTAAATGGCTTTTAAAAAGCTGTGACACAATTGACATTGTGTACATAAACTTCCAATGTTAAATTGGACACTATGCTGACAGATGTAGTTCTAGCATCCTCCCAGCTATAACAGATAAGACCATTAAAACATTTTAGTTGTAGAAGGAAACTTGATAAAGTCAAGGACATCCTTAACCTTGTTCATGTCCTGGCTGGGAAGAGCTCAGCCATGTGGCAGTGTCCCAACTTATTTTAAATTCCAGAGTATTATTAAACCAACCTGATTTTTGTGAACTAGTTCTTTAGCTAACAAGCAAAGAGAGAAACTAAAATTTCCACTTAAAATTGAAACTAAGACTTAAAAATTAAAATTCATTTGTATTGAATCAAATGGGACTATGAAGCATGATCTGTTATTCATAAGTACTCATGATATGTTCATCACTTTCCTCACCCAGAGCTCACGAACCACTTTCAGGTTAGTTGTTGTAGTTTTACACATTTTTGGGTGCTTTCTACAGTTCGTTGCTTCTGTAGTCCACCAGGAGTGGTGAAAGAGTTGTAAAGTAAGTTTTTGCTGCCTCAAAGTTTTAAGCACTGACCAGTTACTTTGAGACATGGCAGTGAGCATAATAAGG